AAAATTTAACCATTCGTATGGAGATCACATAGACGCAACTAATTACTTGATAAAGGCTGGAGCGAATGCCAAATTAAAAAACCAGGTAAGGTAGATAAAAATGATGACAATGAAGATGATGATGATTAATATGATTATGGTGATGATGAAGATGTTTATAGTTAAATAATGGTGATAAGGAGCATACTGAAATTAATGATGGCAACTATAATGTCGATATTGTATGGCAACTAATACTATTGGGATTTAGGCCTATACACTACAGTAAGCGAAATGTTTATTCATGATCATTGTAGCAACTATTGATTTTTGTCAATGTTTTATTGTTAACATGAATATTTACAAGATGCAATTGTAGAATTAAAGAATAATTAAATTGATATGTAAATTTCAATTCAATTGTTTTGAATTTTTTTGGGGTAACATTTGTTGAAGTGCTTTAAAATGTGATTGTTTTTGCTTGATTATTTATTTAATTCATGAGGTATGATATGTGATTGTCTTTGCAGGATGGTCAAACTCCAGCTGAAGTGTATGTGGACAACAAATGTGAAAAGTATGATTCAACCAACAGAAAAAAACAGAAAGAAATGTTCATGTATCTCCTACAAAGTGAGCTGTTCATATGAACATAAGTTCATATTTAATTTATTTGTTTTGTTTCATATCAAATATCAATCATTTTAAAATTAATATTAGTATATTCGCATTTTGTATATTTAGTATGAAATTCTTCAAACACCATTTAAATGTCCATTCATTTGTTTATATGTGCATATCTATTTTTGCAATTGTATTTATGTGTATTGTACAGTGTATATTATGAACTGTACTTACATTTAAACACAGTAAATAAGATTCCCAATGTTAGCTGTATTTAATTACAGTATTTTGATTAGCAATCCAGGCAGCTATTGGTGGCACTTTCTAATATTTTACAGCATTTGTTTTATGCTCGATTCAGACAAAATGATAGCGCTATCACTCAGCGTATCATTGAATATAATACTGTAAAACATTTATTCAATGATGAAAATAAAACGACTACTCTAGGCCTATATTTTCTCTGTCTGTTATCACCATAGTAATTTATTGCCCCTCTTTTGGAATAAATAAGTTCTAATTCTATACTTTTGTTTGCAAATTTGCTTTTATTATGGTTACATAATCACAAGACTGGGTTTGATGAAATAAATGTTGCACCATTGCTACGAATGATTCTATGAGAAAAGAAATGCAAAATCACAATTGAAGCAATGGAAAATTTGTATGAATGGATAGGTTAAAGACCTCTTCAGTAAATGACAGCATTTCAGGCGGCTGGCCTCAATAATTATATTTAACAAGTTTCATGAAGGAATTCAATGTGTAATTCAGAAATATATTTATGCTTTAAAGCGGGGATGGTTCCAACGGAAATCTTGGCGCGTGGGACCGAAGCAGTGGAAGCTTTTAATGATGCTCTAGCTGAGGGAGAAACAGAGGTTAATCAAGGAAGGACAGTTTTCATGGGGCTCGAGAGAGTCGGGAAGACATCTACTATCAAGTCATTTTTAAGGAATACGTAAGCTAAATATTTCCAATGTTTGCTTTACCTACTTAACCAGTAGAAATAGGTGAAGTCTTCAAATGTTTTTTTAAGAAACTTGTAATTCAAATAATTTTTGTATTTTTTTCAAGAATCGACAACTTTAATAAATGTACAGTATGAAAGCTTCAATAATATCAATCCATTATTTTAAGTACGTTTCTACACATTTATTTATATATCTACGTTCTGTACATTATTTATTTTATAATGCTTTCTGTAATAACAATATCTCTAGATTAATAATTTCATTTTGCTTTAGTTTTGATCCACATGAGGGTATTACGGACGCAATTGCCAACACAACGGTGTGTACCCATGAATCACACGATGAATTGAATTGGAAGGAAACATCGCTGGTCCACCGCAGGTTACTCCCAGCAATTTGCTGGTACCCATTGTTGATACAGCTGGGTAGATTGAAGCAATGTAAATAAAGTGCCTTGCTCAAGGACACAAGCGAAATGCACAGTGAAGGATTGAAAACCAACCTCGAGGTACGGATTCCAAATAATTGCAGTGTGCCTAACTGCTTTCACTATATGTGAAACTTCCTTGTACCTGTCTTATAAGTCAATTCTCGGTAATGTTGGGATTGTTGTAAATTTGTCAATAAATATGCAAATCACTATTCACTAAGAGATCAGTCTAAAATCAATTATTGAACTAACAAAATGAACTTAATCATATATTAAAACCTTATTCGAATAAATTAATTATACTCTATCTCTGAACAGCTGACGCCAATGACATGTATGAAGCAAAAATGGCAGATTCCATAGCGAAAAAAATATTAGAAAGAGAAACTGAGAAGAATGTAGAAGCAACAAGACAAGTAAGATTTACACAATTTTTTTTGGTGATATTCACTAGCATTTAAGTTGGTTAATATTGAAATATTTAATGCTACTAATAATAAATAATGGATATAATCAAGCTAAAGTATATAATGGTTAATTTTTTTTTTCTTTTTGTTTTACAATTATTTCAAGAGCGTGTTATCACCAGCTAAAGCAGAGACGAAATATAATCAGGGTAAGATGTTCGTGTTTACATTTCATAAGAAATTGATTTTAATGAATACATTATTTTCATTCGGTATTTCTCACAGAGGGCCATCACATGTCATAGAATTAGTGCCGAAGCACCTCTATTAACAACATAATACGTATGGTTGCTCATGGAACAAGTATCATAGGTACATTGCCAAAAGAATACCACCTGGAACAGCTAATTTAGAACTTCGAACATGAAATAACAAAAACTCACTCACTAATTGACTGACACTTCACTGTACCAAGCACTACCTAACCTTGTAGGGTCAGTGGAAAAACCCCATTATCCTACTATTTCTTTTTTTTTGAATTATGCAAGTTTTTATTCTGAATCTTCTATAAGGACAATCATCATCGAATGTTGACTCCAGAAACCCGAAATTAGAATCGGATACCAAAGAGCAGACACAGGCACAATTGATGGAGGAGGTCCCCAAAACCATCGCCACTAAAGTCCAGGAGCGAATAAAAGAACTTGAGTTCACAAGAGGAGATGCGACGCAAGAATGGCAAAAATCTGGCAACGATTTTATTATGAGTATCTGGGACTTCGGAGGCCAGCCGATATGTCATGTGATACAACGAGTAAAGTCATTATATTGAATAATAAATTGAATAATAAATTGAATAAAATTATAGTTATTAAAATTACAAAAATAATTATTCTAGGTATTTCATTCAGTTTTCGATAGTAAAAATACAGTAATTGATTGTGAATCATTTTTTTGTAGATTTTTATGGTATCTTTTGCCATTGTTTGTGTGGTATTTAACCTAGAAGATGATCTTGACGTCCCCGCTGCAGTCTTTGATCCAACCACTGTAAGCATTATTTCTTATCAACATTAATTTATTCATTATCAGGTTTTGCATGAACTTTATCAACTTTAAAATCAGGATTAAGTGGTTTTATACAGATGACTCACAGTACATTAATACATACGATAGTTTCTTTAAATTATGTTACTGTATTTATTTCTGTTTTATTTCAGGGGGAAAAATATGAACATCGGATGACAAACCTTGGGTTCATTCTGTACTGGATTCGTTCAGTATATACAAACAGTAGGGATTTAAAATTGGAAGATGGACAACCTTCACCACCAGTACTAGTGATTGGTACTCACCTAGGCAGCCTCGAGGGAAATGAAGAGGAAAAGAAAAGAAAGGTAAACAACTACGTCATACACCCAAACACCAAGTAAACAATAAAACAGTATAAAGTACGTAACATATCATAAATAAACCACAAACAAAAGAGAAGGTAATAAGTTAGACCAATTAAATTAAATGTGTACAAGTTATATACTTGATACTTACTTGATTGTAGTGGGAAAGGATTAAGCCTCAGTGGCATTTGTAACCCCACAAAGCAGTTCACCGCAGGAGCCAGAACAACATATTCAGGGAGAGAATTCAAAGTATTATTGATTTTGAGAAAAGAAATCTTTTTATATATTACCATGAATCATTTTTATTTTATAACAATTTATTAAAAATGTGACTACAATAACAAATTTTCACACAAATACAAAACACATAAATTTTATAATACCTGATGACAAAAGCCAAGACGTAAAGTTACAACATTTTAATTTTTTGGTTTTTTTTTACTAATATTTGAATTAAGCTATTAACACTTTCCGTGGTATAATGTTAAATTGCATTCTGGGGGACCACTGGCAATCATGACTGGCACAAGACCAAAACAGCCATATTTTGTGAACATAGAGATCTGTTTCCATTTTGGATGAATAAGATTGTTTTTACATTTACCTTGACCTTACCCACCCGACAATAAAAAGACTGCAGACAGCAAGAAAAATAGCTGAACAAAGCTGTTTGATTTTCACACAGTAAAACATACAAACAGCATTGTAATTTTTTTAGAGTGCGCTGCATTATTTAACATGCACCTTATAAATAGTGGCCAACTGCATAACGTTTCCATTGTGTGCTATAATATACATTGCATCACTGCAAGAATGTGTTTTAAGCCCAGATTCAGGATTGTCACTGGTACATCATCCTAATCAACCTCACCATCATCAGAATCATCGCCGTCGCTATTATCATCGTCATCATCTGTTCATCATCGTCATGGTCAATTAATTAATCGATTAATTGCTTGACTGAGTGACTGATTGATAGCATATTTGTTGATTGATGAACCGATTGACTGATTTAATCGATCAATTCAACGATTTACTAATTAAAATAATTTTTTGATTAATTTATATACAAAATAATTTTTAGTACTTATTTGTGTCGGGTGTTTCATACGCTACAAAAATTTTAATCTAAAAATCAAACATTATTTTAATTGGATGGCCAATTTAGCGATGGTTGATACTTAACTAAGTTGACCACTTAAACATATCAATGAAAATGACAACTTGCACACTTACACATTGGTATCGTTATGTTAATGTTTGTTTTTACGTTGCTGCTGTGGCTGTTGATATTGATTCCAATAATTTTTTTCATATTTATGTCTGATGATTAATATTTTTGTTTAATTTCAGGCCGAAGAAATATTCAATAAAATTAGGAAAGCATTGGAAGGGAAACCTTATGAAAGCATGGTGTCAAGTTTCTTTGCTATTGAGAACAGCTTACCGTTTGCCAGGAGCAACGCTTCCAACATCATGAACCAAATATTAAAGTTCGCAAAGCAGATGGTTAGAAAACTACCATTGAAATGGTTGCGTGTTCAACAGAAAATTCAGAAGTTGAAGGTGAAGAATATCTATTTACCAACCAATGAGGTAGGCATCTATTGAACATTCTCTGAGTTCAGTTTGAGTTAGACTACTAGTCAAATCATACTCAAACCAAGGAAATACATCTTTGCTCAAACATCCAGAATAATCCATGAATTCTCTACATGATTATTATTGTTGCCATTGCTATGAGAATATACAGCTGTATCTACCAGTATTCTTCCACCCTCATTTAAAACCATTTGGTTATGTTTTTTGGGTTTTTATTGCTTTAACAGGTGATTGCTTTGGTTGAGCGGTGTGGGGTGAAACAAGATGCTCAAAGGGTGCTGCTTGAGTATTTACATGACCTTGGTGAGATTCTCTACTTTCCTGATGACGACGCTCTAAAGTACATCATCGTTTTAGATCTGATGAAAATAGTCGACATGTTTAAAACAATAATAACCATTATTGAGCCTAAACTTAGGGTAAGCTGAACTGCACACATTTACACAATATTTTGTGAAGTACATTTTTTTATGCTAATTATTTTTTTGGCCAATTTCAGGCTAAAATTAAATTGTTCATATTTTGTTCTTATTTTACACTTTTCAACGATTGAAAATTATTGTTGTGCAGAGTGTACTTTAAAGCAATTTAAATTTATTACAACAAAAGTGTAGGTAGATTTCCTTGTTTCAGATACTGTATTTCTGTGATAAAAGCATAGCACAAACCTAAGTTAAAATTATTAAATTTCAGAAACCAAAGCACAGAGAAGCCTGGAGGAGGTTGGACTCGGGGATCTTAGAGGAGCATCTTTTGAGACACCTCTGGAAGGAGTTCAATTTTTCAGATAAGACGTTTGACTTCTTCGTATCTCTCATGCAGAAGTTTGGACTGGTGTGCGAAAGAAAGGTACACTAGTATTTTTGAATATTTATTTTATCTTTCTATTGGAGCCTGTTTCATTACATCAATTTCAAATAATGTAAACTAATTATAACAGTGAATATGTTTATAATAAAGATATGAATTTGCATCAGGAAATATCATAGGAGTGATGTTTTGCCCTACCTGATGCATTATTGTACCGAATACTCAGTAAGTCCCCAATTACTGGCAAAAAAAAATTTGCAAGTGATTCGGGTGGGAATCGAACCCACAACCTCCAGGTATCTAGGCTGATGTCTTAAACACTAGACCAGTGATGAGTCACCAAGCACAGCTCGGTGGTCTAGTGGTTGAAGATATCAGGCTAGATACCTGGAGGTTGTGGTTTCTAAACATCACTCCTATGTTTATAATATTCTCTTTTTACAATTTCTTGCTACTTACAATGCTTTCGGTTTTTTCAGGGTGGTGAACGTATTTTCTATGTTCTGTCACGCTTGAAGCCTAAATGTGTAAAGACATCGCCCCCGGATTATGGGAACCGGGCAGTTTCAATCTTTCATGACTTTGGTGGTTATCTACCTGACGATCTTTTCCAGCGTGGAGTAACTAAATTTATTGAGAAATTCCAAGTAGAAAACTATGAACCTAAACTATCTTATGAGCATGTGGAGTTACACATTGATCAACATCACCAAGTGGTTTTGAATGTAGCTACTGTCAAGCATCGTCGTATGTTTAAGGTAATTAGGCCTCTCATAATATTACTTATGTTATTAAATAGTATTTATATTTGGCCTACTTTGAATATAAATAGTAAGTTTATACATACCGGTAATGGTATAATACGGAATGGGTCTATAATATACAAATTTGACATGATCATAGAAAATGAACAATGTTTTTCTTGTATAGTACTTACACATTCAAATTTTATACAGATGCCACAATTATTGAATTATTACAGTAGTCATCAATACATTATTCATCATCATGTCAATCAGTTTTAATAGATTGTATCTCCCTTGCAATTTTGTTGAATATTTTCTTGTCTTACGATTTATTAATATCATCATCATCATCATGACTAAACATATTATTATCAGTGCCACTAACATAAACATCACAATGTTATCATCATTATTAGCACTAATATTATTACCACTATTGTCAATACCACGACCATTATCATAGCTAAATATCACCATTAAACATATATATAAATATATACTACCGAATATAAAAGAAATACAGTTTCGCCTTTTGAAATAAGTACATAAATACAATAAAACAAAGAGAACCACAAATTATAGCAGTTGAGTATCAAAATTCAATTCAAGTTTAAATTCATAAGGCATTTCTTTTCTCATTTTTGTTTTGCAGACAACTATCATCAGACTAAATATAATTAATCCCACTCAGATTACCAAGGAAGATGAACCCTCACCGACAGTGTGTAAGGAGGTACTGCCTTCATTGAATTGAGTGACTATACTCAATATGTTTTAACCATTTCTTCATTCTAAAACACATTCACTTTTGTCTGTTTTGACCCTAATGGCTGCCCACACTATTCTTCATTCTAAAACACATTTATTATATTGAATGTACATATGTATTTAAACTCAGTTCTTCATCTTGTTCAGGTGTTGAGTTTCCTGGAAACTGAACTAAAGCCATTCTGTCAGAGTGGTGCACGAGGCATTGAATTAACGAGGTACATTGCTTGCGAATGTAGCGATGTCCACATGCATAACGTGCGCAAGTTTGATAAGGATGTGCTGCCATGTGGGAGCAATGGTCTGGAAGTGACGCGCTACCGTCGACTATTTGGAGATGACGTGCCACGATTGCAATGTATGTCACAGCTATTCCTTCATGTCTGCTTTTATAGTAAATCTAGAATCAAATCTAAAACACTAAACCTAATTCATAAACTAAAAATTATGAAAACTTATTTGTATAATAAATATGGTATCGTCACATAATATCAACTCGTTGATCCCACCGAAAACTATTCCTTGTAAACTCTGCTATGAAATAAAGCAACATGAAATCGGAAAAGAGGTCTTGTGTTATCAAAGATATTGTTTTACCTTGATTCATTATTTCTTGATTTTTAGATTATTCACAGTATCAAGAAATTGTACATATACACAATGGTAGGTTTATGGATTTTTAAAATGTTAATTAAAAATAATAGGTCACATACAGTGCTTTGTAAAATAGTAAACACATATCTTCACAAGTGATGTAAGATGGTGCTAGTATTATTGAGAAATAAAATATTAAAACAAATCACTTTTAAAATTAATCTGTACTCTGATGAATAGTGTTTTAAAACATGGTATGATTTTTTTCACATTATCTTAAAGAATATTTTTTACATTGTGTTCAGATTCATTAAAAAAATGTTTTGGGACAATCACGTTTTCTTTCATGTTAGACTTTGTGGATGACCTCACCATTACAAAAGTCTCTGAGGAAATGAATTTCAGCTGGAGAAGGGTTGGAGTCCGTTTGGGACTTAAGTGGTCGAAAGTGAACATGTTCAATTCTAATGATACGCAGACTCAAAAGGCTGCCGAAAATATGATGAATTACTGGAGGAGCAACCTCAGTAGCGATATTCATCAACGTAAAATGCTGTCCACTGCCCTGAAACAACATAAGCTCAGGAAACTAGCTGAAGAATTGTTTGAGGGAGAAATTGGCGATGAAAATATTGACACTCAGGAAGGAGGTAAGCACCTCAAGGAGTTCACAAATAGTATTAGAAACCCTTTTTTTTCCTACAGCTTGTTTCTATTTTGTTAACACATAAAGTAACACATAGTAACAACAGATGTCAGTTACAATTGTTTTTTATTCATTGCATATCATCTATGTTTTCTAATTAGGAAAATGTTTTAATGATCAAGATTTGCTATTCATCTGTGACAAACTGGATCCCGAATCATGGAGAAGACTGGGAGTGCGTCTTAACCTCAAGTGGAGCGATATTAAAAAAATAGCAAACAACAACAGACAGGTAGAGGACCGCATCATGGAATTGCTCGTTACTTGGAGGGATTTCCAAACAAAAAACCAAGTACCAATCATGGTAAAAGCTTTGAGACAACTGCAGCTTGTTGGACTAGCACGAGATGTATCTGAAAGGCATGGCTACAGTGATGAGTCAGAAGTTGCACAAACTCAGACAAATAAGAAAAATCAAACACTAGAGCATGGTTAGTGAAAAATTGCTATTCTCTTAATAATGTATGTTTTCTTTGATAGCTGAGAAACGTTGTAAGCACAATTTTCATTTCGTATATACAGAGATAAATTTGAAAATACAGTACTAATTATTGGTTTACGTGTATCGTTCTAGTCAGTAATGAAACTATTTTCTGGTTTCAGTCATGACTGACCAACATATAGATCTTATTAATGTTAATCTTCAAAAGGTAGGTTAATGTAGGGCCCGAGTATATAATCTTTTAAGCTGGTGCCCAGAGTCAGTTTGTTGTGGCCAGTGGCGGGCTGACATACTTTCATTATTTTCATGAACACTCCATCCATTCCTTTTCATACAACTCATCGTGATAACTTCTGTCACAATACGTTAAAACATTGGTGATACTTTCCTAAATCAACAATGTGATAGACTATGTTTTTAAAAATTAGTGACTTTGGCATTGGAATATCTGAGAGGGTGATGTAGTTGCATACCTAAAATCTTACCCACTAACAATTTTTTAAATTACGTTCATGTTTTAGGTCTAAAAATCACCACCCAACTATTTTTCTCTGCTTAACCCCAAAGGCCATCAGTTTTAATCTGAAAGCTAAAGTGTGTCCTCATTGTTAATTAATTCATACATTTTTTTTTTGTAAATTACAAATTTCTGACTCATTTGCCAATGTAAAATTATCATCAGTTTAGCAAAGCTTTTCAAATCAAAATCTTTGGGCTGAATACCAAGGATGTAGGAAAGGTTAGTAATGTACTACATAATAAAATAAATATACTTTTTTTGTGGGAGCTCAAAGTATAAAATTAATATTGAAAAATGTTAGTAAGCAATAATAAATGTTGGTAATTACGAATGTAATAATATAAATAGTTGAACAAATAACATAATACCACTCATCTATGTATACAGTATTATTGAAAATTTATGTATTTCAGGTTGCTTAGATGATATTGACATGTTGATTATCTCTGAGAGTCTTGATAATGACTGGAAGGATTTTGGGATTTACTTAGGTTTGAAAAGATCTGAAATAAATCGAATTCAGTCAGACTTTACACCACCAACTGTAGACGCCTCTATTGAAATGTTGGTACAGTGGCGAGAAAGACAGAAAGCTGAAGTAAATCATCTCGAAACAATTAGTGAAGCACTGAACAAACTTGAACGAATAGATATCAAGGAAGAACTTGAGTCATACTACCAGAACAAATACGGAAAAATTGAAGCAAAGGTGTAAAGCAACATTTTAAACATGATAACAGTGCAATAAAAAATAACACCAGAATATAATTTTACCGTGGTTACATACACCATAGTCCACATTAAGTTACTTTTTAATCAAGAAATTATATTTTGCTCGCCTTTTGATCATCCAAACTGCACACTTTTGATGCTGTCATCCAGGACTGTAGATATTGAATACAAAATATACTGAAAACATTAGTTTCAACTTTTTCTTTGGATAATTATGTATATATAAACCGAAAGGTCCACTGATTAATCTCATATAAGAAAGTATAATACATACTCCAAGTATTGAAATCCTAATGATGACATAATGTCGAAATATAGCATTTCAATACTTGGAGTATGTATTATACTTTCTTATATGTATATAAAATGTATGTACGTTTTTCTATATTGATTATGCAATTTAAATGATAAATTGTTACTTATATTAAAGTTTTAATATTATTCAATAAATGTGATACACTATTTGTGATGGCATCGTGAAGAAAACAATTCTTAATAAACAATTTGTTTTACAAATTTACAAACATTTTATTACTCTGATTATGGAAAATTCAACACTTATTATATGTACTTAATTTTCAATTTATAGCTAATTATTTAATAAAATACATAAATTAAGCAATTCAAACTACTGTTTCCTCTAGCACTGACTTTGAAGTTTCAATGCATCTTTTGTTTCATAATGTTCGAAGCCCAATTCAGAAAGCATCATACATTGCAGCCCAACAAGTTTAAATTTGTTGTCGCGTTGAGTACGGTCACATTGTGGAATATTAAACATTTACTATGATCATGACCTTAAGATTGTCCCTGATGACATATTATGTCGGAATGTGTCGTACGGCGCTGTCGGAGTTGGGCATTAAATGAAATATAACTTAGTAAATTATCTTATGCTGATCTCGCATACTCTTCTGCAGTATACTCAGCACTGCACATCCAAAAATACTTTGGAAAAGAATGTTGCAAGTAAATCGGGTAGAATTGAACCCACGACCTCCAGATAAATGTGCTTAATGGGTTGTGAAACAGTAGTAGCTCCAGGAATTGCCCGACAGGGAGGTTCCCATGTCCCCAACCAGAGCAAATTGGGCGTGGTCAGGCATTACTTAAAATCTTTCAAAAGTGGTCCAGGGGCAAAGCCGACTGAAAATTTTGACAATTTATTGGTTTCAAAGGCTTTTTTAATCGATTTTAGAAAGGGGATCTGGTGCGGATGCAGGAGTACAGACGGTTCGATCATACCCCCTAAATTGTGTCACGAAAAATAATTGTTGCCATGAATTATTGGTAAAATTTTTAAGGTATGAGAGTGCAATTTCCGGCCACTAAGAGGTGCATATTTTCAAAATGTTTGCACCTCAGGCCCAACCAGGTTGAGGCTGAAGTAATGTGCATTCTTATGCTCCCATTGGCGCAGATCATGAGCAGGGGACACGTCTCCCCACATATTGTTAAGAGAGGGTGGTCCCCTCACTTTTCGTCCGCATGGAATTTCAGTCAAGAAGATGCCTGAAATTTTTTGATTACTCCTTAGGACCCAGAATGTTCTGACAGAGCTTCCCACACAGTGGCTTAACGGGGGGGGGGGCAGACTTACTGAGCTGACCAAGCCGTGTACCGGGCTGGGTAAGAAGAGAAAAGAAAGAGGAGAGAGGGAGGGAAAAGAGAAAGAAGGAGAAAGAAAAAGAGAAGAGAAAAATTAAGAAAAAAATAAGAAGGAAGATATAATGAACAGATATCACAATACCCGGCAACCCTTTCTCCACTTCAAAAAGTGTCCATATCGCATTTGATCTAAGCCGCCTGATATTCTCCGCAGTGACATAACCACCGTTGGACAAGGGGAAAATATCCATCCATGGAAAATCTTTCCCCACTGAAGATGCCCTTATCGCCCCGGAAAGTGCCTGAAACTCTCAAATTTGGTTTTTTGTTGGGGTAGGCCAATTTCCTCTAAAAATTGTACATTTTAGGGAGTTTTGCTCAATTTCGAAGAAATTAGAATTAACAACACAAAATTCTTTCGCGCGCATTTTTTAAGGGTAAAGCTTGTGCTTGCCCTCCTTTGCCTTCTAAGTTATTTAAACACACAAGTTCCAAACTCAAGAAAGAACATTTAAGATAGATCGTTTTACCTAAAGAAGGGCCTCATTGTGTAATGATGGTGAAAGAATATGTTTGTAATAAATAAAGCCATAATGAAATGCTTATACAGTCGGTTTCAAAAAAACGAGTGTGGCCATAATTATATAACATAAGCGCATTTCTTGTTGAGGTAGGCCAATTTCCTCTAAAAAATGCACATTTTAGGGGTTTTGATCAATTCCGACGAAATTAGAATACTTGTGCTTGCCCTCCTATGCCTTCTAAGTTATTTAAACACATAATAGGCCCAACTCCAATAGAAAGAACATTTAAGATATATCGTTTTACCTAAAAGAAGGGCCTTTAGTGTAAGTGTACGATGAGATGATAAAAATACACCACACTTTTATACTGTATGACATGTAGAACTGTACAATTTATTACAAGTGAAAAGCGTATTTACAAAAACTTGAACTTGAGAAACAAGTTGATGATATATACAAATTGATAGAAAGCGAAAGTAATGTGTACTCAGGGAGGACAAACTGAGGAGTGTCTGTAAAAGGAATGTAGGTAAGAATGGCCCCGGAAAAAATGGCCCCAGAAAAAATGGCCCCGGAAAAAATTGCCCGGGTAAAAATGGCCCCATATGACAGGTAGGTAAAAATGGCCCCAATGAAAAAATCGGTAATAGAAATGATATATATTTTTTTAAATCTTCAAATATTTAAATACTGTATATTTAGTTATGTAATCAGAAACTACAGTTACACCTTATTTTACGGGAACCTTAATTTGTTTATTTGTTATTTCATTTGTTTTATGAAATGACAATAATAATAATAATAATAATAATAATAATAATAATAATAATAATAATAATAATAATATTGGCAATAATTTGTTTGATGTTAGATTCCTTATAAAAACTAAATTATTTAAGATAAAAAAAATGCATATATTTAATACAGAATTTGATTATTGGGGCCATTTTTACCTACCTGTCATATGGGGCCATTTTTACCGGGGCCATTTTTACCGGGGCCATATTTTCCGGGGCCATTTTTTCCGGGGCCATTTTTACCTACATTCCCGTGCCGTATATCATAAGCCAACTCTTGGAACTGTCTCTTATACACATCTAGATGTGTATAAGAGACAGCACCACTGCAATCCATACGATCGCAATAGTGTGCAACATCTTGCACATACGGTAGCACTGCTCGCATTAAACTGTTTTTAATCCATAATATTTGACAGCTTAGGCATGCCTGAATTTTTTCGGCGCTAAATAGTTGATTTTTTTCCGACGACAAAATTCCTCAACATGGGGGGTCAAAACGGGTGGTCCAGAAGTCCCCGACGAGGGGTAATTTCCCCCTGGGCTCCTGCTTTTAATGACGATCCGCTAACAGTCAGCGGACGGTGCGGCGTTGCAGGCATCATGAAGAGCCTTTGGAGAACGAAGATGTATTCGCTCAGCCCGTTGGATTGTATTAATAACTGGGTATGCGAGGTTTGTGCGATTCATTACTCGACACGGACAATTCGGTTAATATGGATATCAGACTGCGACAACATAACTTATTATATTACAGTATATCATAATTCCGGTGACGACTTGCACGCAATGAAGCGAATGTCATTTGATAGGCCCAATATGAATGTTAAAATAATTTCCAGTTCCTATAATTCATGTTTTGATGGCATTTCTAGCCCCCAGCAATAAGATTCATAGTCTCAAGACAATATTCCCGCGCATACAACTGTCTTGTATGCAAAATTCGTTCGATATAATACAATTTATAATTTCGATAAATCATAAATAAACATTATATAGGCCGCAAAACTATTCTTGGAAATAATATATATCTCCATGATATAAAATTATTTCATCACGTTCCCTGAATAATTATAAGCATGATGAAGTTTCCAATAATATTTTGCATCTCAAAGACGGCAGAAGAGAAATCTTGTAAAAAGCGGAAAGGCGTATCAATATTAAATGACATGTGGGTAAGCTGGAGATCTCTTGTTCTCTTGACATTAATAATGTCAAAGCGGTCCTTGTGGTATTTGCTGGAGTGTAAACCCACTGCGTCAACCTCAATTAATTAAGAAAATAACTTAACTTTGAGATCAATGTATCGCAGACAAGACCGTTCTTGTAACTCGGCATCACCTCTAGGCAGTGACGAGCTTCCTCTTAAACATCCAATGGCTTAACATTTCAATGAAGTTGATTTTGTGGTTTCAGCCAATTACAATAATCATCTGTTTTGACATAGGGTCATTGACATGGACTTTTTTTGTTTTATAATATCTCCCATGGGCTGATGCTATTAGAGCCCATGTACTTAAGGGTTGTTCAATTAATGATCAACATTAGGGAGGGCATGCGAAATGACGTATTGGGGTTTACCAATACACAGATTGAATTTCTGGAAAATTGTGATTCCGCTTCCGTGAAATCGGCCACAAGTAAATTATTTTAGTATTAATAAATGCATGATTTATGTTGATTTAATAATAATAATAATAATAATAATAATAGTGTAGTTTTATATAGCGCACAAATCCATCTAATGTAAGATGCTCAGGGCGCTTGAAATGTGGACTAGGATTTATTGATTATGTTGTTGCTATTTTTTAACATTTATATGGAGAAAAAAAATAAAAAGTGTAATTCATGGCTTTTTATTTATCTTTGAATATTTTATCATTGAATATTAATTCTTGCAAAAAGTAAAATGTAAATAGCAATTTGTTTGATGTTAGATTCCTTTTAAAAACTAAATTATTTAAGATAAAAAAATACATATATTGAATACAGAATTTGATTATTGGGGCCATTTTTACCTACCTGTCATATGGGGCCATTTTTACCGGGGCCATTTTTTCCGGGGCCATATTTTCCGGGGCCATTTTTTCCGGGGCCATTTTTTCCGGGGCCATTCTTACCGTACAATGTAGGTAAGAATGGCCCCGTAAAAAATGGCCCCAGAAAAAATGGCCCCGGAAAAAATGGCCCCGGAAATAAAGGCCCTGGAAAAAATGGCCCCGGTAAAAATGGCCCCAGTAATAATGGCCCCGGTCAAAATGACCCTAAATAACAAGTAGGTAAAATGGCCCCAATGAAAAAATTCATTAATAGAAATGACTTTTTTTTTTTTT